CAGCAGTGAGTTAGACAGTACTGCCTCCTTCCCTCTTGGTTCCCTCTTGGTTCCCGCGCTCACTGAGGCTTGTCTGCTTGCTGTTTCAGATGTAAATGAAGCGCCGACCGAAACCGCTTACGTCAACGTGCTGACACGCGGTGACCTGTCGTCTCTGCGCTGGATCGCGTCCCCGCTTCGCCACTTTGTGAGCAGCAGCCCTGCTGTGCAGCTGTGCCAAGTCTACTACAGCTCGCTCAACTTCAAAGACATCATGCTGGCTACTGGCAAGCTGCCGCCCGACGCCATCCCAGATAGTGTGTCTGTACACACCAAGTAATGCCACACTCTGCTGGGTCGTAGTGTGTGATGCTGTTGTTGAACATTCACAGTCACATGACAAACCTTTTCCATTTCTTATTTGTTATAAAGGGGACCAGGCTTTAAAGCAGTGCATGCTGGGTATGGAGTTTTCTGGTCGCGACCCCAGCGGGCGTCGTGTGATGGGGCTGTTGCCTGCCAAAGGCCTGGCAACGGTCGTGGACGCTGACAGAAGGTTCCTCTGGGAGGTTCCCCACAGCTGGTCAGTGTGCGGAGAACTCTGGACGTTCTCAGCAGGTTTAACATGAACATTAAAATACAAGAAATCTTTTTTTTAATCATCAGCAGCCTTCAGAGAAGCTCACCTGATGCCAGTAATTACTAGTTTAACTGGCAGTGGTCCTCAGTCTGTTTGCACACATGAAGCTGTTTGTGCTGAAAGTTCAAACTAAACGCGTGATCAGAAACATTGTATCAACTCTGCAGATACACAGTAACAGCACGTCCTACACATCTGTAACACAAAGATCCTCTTTAGCTGAACCCTCACAGACACCTGCTGATATGGTGACGTGTATGTGTGTGTGTCCGTGTTTTAGATAAAAGAATCACTGTATGAATGTGTGTGTGAATGAGCAGACAGGCGTTGTGTACGTGCTCGATTATTAAGTGAGACAGTCTTCAGTGTCCAAGCCTGAAGGCGGAGCACTGACACAGGATTCATTTATTCATTAGTCTCATTCATGAAGCTGCTGCTGTGCAGTTTCTCCAGCATACAGCACAGTTACATCCTGCTACATAAACCACACACTTATTGTGTTGTGTGTGTGTGTGTGCGCGCGTGTGTGTTCAGGACACTGGAGCAAGCAGCTTCTGTGCCAGTGGTTTATGCCACAGCATATTACTCCCTGGTAGTGCGTGGCAGATTACGCCCTGGAGAGACTGTGCTCATCCACTCGGGGTCAGGAGGCGTGGGCCAGGCTGCCATCGCCATAGCGCTCAGTAAGAAGTGCAGAGTGTTCACTACAGTCGGTGAGTATGTAAGAGAGGATCTCATTCTTTTTACCCCAACTTTGGGGGCGGGGCCTCTTGTCTAGGCTCAATGGAGAAGCGGACGTACCTGCAGAAGAGATTCCCTCAGCTATCAGCAGAGGCTTTCACCAACTCCAGAGATACTTCCTTTGAATGGCACATTCTGCTCCACACACAAGGCAAAGGTAGCTGCTCAGTGCTTCAGGGGACGATTGACATGACATCAGATATCTTGGATTAGCAGTCAGCAATCATTCCCTGTGCTCTAATGCAGGGATGGAAGACCATTCTTCCAAACAATATTCCCTGAGTATTGATATACATTAGTATAAATGGCACTTACAGGTTACTCCAGCCTTTGAACACAGTCGTATTCCAAGAGCAGAGTAGCTGCTGTGAGTGGCTGATGAAAGCTGGGCCTGCAAAACTGCTCGGGGCCCCGGCTTGAGTAGGCAGGCGAGATATGTGAAGGCCAGAGGCAGTGCCCCCACCCGTCGGCTCCATCCAGGCTCTGCACCGCCTTATGGATTATACTCAAAGGATCAGAGGCTGGACTGTTTGAACAGAGAGCCGGTCCAGACTTCCTGTGTCGAGGTCCTGGATCCAAAGACGGACATTAAGTCCAGAATCTCTCGTCTTTCTTTCAGTAGTAATTTCCCCGTCCGGTCACAGTGCTGCTGCTCAGCAGCTCTCACTGTAAATTCATTGGTGAAATGTGCATCATGCACCGGTGCCAGTGTGTTTCCTCCCAGT